AATAAAACATATAAAAAAGGTATATATGTTTAAAATATAATAAAATATAAAATAAAACATTTAAAAAAGGTATATATGTTTTATATTAGGCATATAAAAATATATCCGGCTAACGAGAAACTATTTTTCGGACCAAGCGCTTGAATCGCTTGCCAGACTCGCCCCAGTAAAAAGGTCTAATAGTTAAAGTCTCTCTATCCTTTCATAATCTTTTTTTGATGTTTTTCTCGGCCAGCCAGGACTTTACATTAAATTCCATTACTTTTTTGTTTAAAATCGTTATTGTTTTTAAAATAACAGATTTTTAAACACTTAATCTTCCGATTTCATATTGTTTTATTCCATTTTTATTGGCACTTGCAATTCTTTCTTTCATTTTAATTGGAATATATTTACCCTTAGCCATGTTAACTCGATAAAGACAACATTTAACATATATTTAAGTATTTAGTAAAGCAACAATAGCAAAAATATTTCATTTTGTCGCTTGAAATCATAAAAAAATAACTGATAAATACGCTTACAAAAATTGAGAGATAAAATTTCTTTACCAAAAACTTGTGTAAAATGTTTTAAAATGCTTTGTTATTAAAATAGTTGACGATATATTAATCTTATTCGTATAATCTAACTAATTAACATTGTTGCTTCCTTTAAGTCCGATGCTGTCTATAACAAAATCTTGATAGACATATTACATTTAAAATAACTTTTAAAGATTGCTTGCAGTCCACAATTTTTTGGTGTTTTCCTTTTAAATAATTTAATCTTTTGTCTTGCAGACATCATACTTTACGGAAATATACTGAATGTTTAATAACTAATAGTCGACTGACAGAAACTTTTTAAAAAGCACCCTAACTACAATGAGTGAATTGTAATTTTCCTGTAAGTGGAAATCCGCCTTTTAAAGTTATGAAATTGATATCAAAACTTTCGTATCCTGAACATCTTTTTATATCCTAGGTCACTTAAACCAACGATAGTTTTAGATGCGGTTGAATTTGCTATACGCATGCGACAAATATTTTTGAAACATTTGATTACTTTTAATTGCTAAGTAAATAGTATTGTTTTTAATTACCTCGGACGTGTAATAACAGATGGTGTTTAATTGAATGCTGAATGTCTGACAAATATGTAATCTGATTTCATACAATAAGAAAATCTTGCAATTCTCTATAAACTTGAATACTTGATAATTTTATAATCACACACAAACTTAATTTTACAATTACACACACACACCTATTATATGTGCTTTATCAGGTAAATTTTTATAATATATGTTAGGGCAAACTGACCTATTAGTGACCACGTCCTATTAAGAGCCGCTTTTTTGAGGGCTCCTTTCAAAGATTTTTTAAACAGGTTGATTAAATATTTGGATTTTTTCTTCAGCTATTTGTACTATAAATAATATACAATATATATTTTTAGTTATAGTTTATAAATAGAATATTTATATTATGTTGAAGATATCGTTTTTTTTGGAGTATAAAATAGCCAGTTTTGGATTTTTTAAACATATTTAAAATAGTTTTTATGATGAAATTTTTTAGGTTCAGTTATTTTAAAACATTTATTTTAAAATTTAAGTTATCTTTTAAGTACTTTTTTGAACTGCAAATAAAAAGTTATAGAATTTTGAGAGGCTTTGTATAGCATCACCCACATTGCCCAATTATTGGCCGCATATTGTACCAGTTTGTAGCCATTACAATTTTTCAATATTTTTTCAATATTACCATGTTTATTTGTTTGTTTTTATTTTTTACTGTAAACTCAGTTATTTTTTGTGCTGATACAAGCATAATAATAAAAAATTTATTTAATTGACTCATTTAGTTATTCAAATACTTGCTTTTTTTATTGTTAAGGTAGAACAAGACTTGCAAAACAAAAAAATAATAAAAATATTTCTGAAAAACTGACTATTAAAGAAGCAAAGTATTGTAACCTAAGTATTAAGCTAACTTAATTCAATTAATGTATACATATTCTGTAATAGTTGAATTTGTTTTAGTATATTTTTTTGTCTTTCCTTCATTTAGCAATAATAAAATTATAAAAAAAATAAACGTTTTCAATGGTCAAAAGCTGACATGCAAAATGCCATCAATGCAGTTAAAAGCAGTTCATTATCACAAAGATCAGCAGCTATTTGATATAAAATTCCAAGAGGCGACTCCTTAATTGGAGTTAGACCTGAACCTCCACCAAAAATACCAAATCATTTAGAAAAAAGTTAGTTGATTATGCCACATCTAAAGCAAACCACGGTATTGGATTTGGGAAAAGACAATTTATGAAATATGTCTCACAGCTTAGTAAGAAATACCTGATAAAGTTTAAACGTGATACCCCATCAGAAAAATGGTGGCGGTTATTTAAATAACGACTTAAGACTATGGTTTTAAGAAAACATGAAGGAACATCATCTGTTCGACATCAATGCATGTCAATCCAATAAGTTTCAAAATATTTTTTCGCACTTCAACAAGTTTTTTATAAGTTGGGTACTCCTGTTATGGCTTCTTCAATTTGGAATATGGATGAGACTGGACTTCAATTAGACTTTAAACCACCCAAAATTGTTGCAGAACGGGGTGCCAAACATCTTTAGTCTCGCACTTCAGGAAAAAGAAAAACAATCACTTTAATTACTGCTGTGAATGCAGCTGGTAAAGCTATACCTCCGCATCTAATTCCAAAAGGTAAAACAATAAAATCACTTCAAGCTTTTAATACAAGTCATTTACCAGTCGGTTCAAAGTGGAGCGTCAGTGAGACTGGATGGGCAAAACATGGAATAGCATATCTTTGGTTTACAAATACATTTTTACCAAATATTGGAACTAATAGGCCACAGGTATTTATAGTTAATAGCCATTATTCTCAGAATTCAGTTGAGCTAATATCTGTTGCTATTAAAAACAATGTTGAAATTATTGAGATGCCAGCACATTGCTCTCATTGGTTGCAGCCATTAGACCGTACTGTATTTGGTCTCATGAAGTCCCATGATTTTATGAATACATACTCTGTTACAATCAGTAAGTCTAATTTCTGCGTATCGTTCAAGAAAACTTGGGATCAAGCCTTAACTGCTGCTAACATTGTTTCTGGTTTTCAATCGTGTGTTTTATTTTCCTACAATTCTTCTGGAATTCCATGTGAGACCTACTTGCCTAATTCACTTTACTCTGACCAGTTATTAGGGAATAAGAACTTGCTTAAATCAAGTTTTGATTCCTTCAAAAATGGTATTATGATTTATCATTCTGGAATATCACTAAACACAACTTTTAAAAAACAGGAGGATCCAAGTTCAAATTGTACTTTAACAAATGATGTTGATACAACTGAAACTATAGGCATCTTGTCTTGATCAGAAATTTGAAGAAATTTTTTACCAGAAATATTTTAATGTAGATTTAGATCAATTGAATAATGACACAGCATTAATGTTATGGAATAGTTGCTTAACTCCAGAGTATGTGACTGCTTTTAATTTCTGTTATCAAAATGGTTTTGATATTTCTGACAATTTGTATTTAGCATACAAAGACTTTCATATAAACCAAAACTCAACCAGTGATGTTTCTTTGGATCTCTCATTAAGAGATTCTGCTGAAACAATTCTTTTATCAAAATTCACTCCGTCTCTAAACCAAGTACTAGTGTTGATTCTTTTAGCCCAATATCTGTTAAAACAAGTTCATTAAAAAGTACTATTGACAACGATCATGATGTTTTCTCTCACCCAAATTTTCTTGTCGATAAGTCAAAAAACAATAGAATTACTAAACAAAAGTATGTTGTTCAAACTTTATATGAAGCTATGCAAGCCAAGTTAAATGATCTAAAAAGGAAAGAGGAAAAGGTTGAGGCAAAAAAAAAAAAAAAAAATGAAGCAACTTGAGATAAAAGAAAAGAGGTTAGAACTTCAACAGGATAGAGAAATAAAAAAGCAATCAAAACATATTGATTTTGTCAATAAGAAGCGAACAATTAATATTTTTATCAAATTTTGTTAATACTTTTTGACGTATTTCTTGAGTTTTGATAGTTGAAATTTCTTTGAATCAATACAATTTTATAGATAGTGTTACAAATATTTTGTTTTCTTTTTAAGTTATTTCGTCCATATTTGGAGAGGTTACTTATGTCTTTACTAGTTTTTATTAAGTAATTATAATTAAAATTTTGATGTGTAACAGTTAATAATCAGTATTTAACTGGTTCATTATTTTAATTAATTTTTTTTTTAAATCGTTCAAATCTTATGAGAATTAAGTTATTTTTACGTTATTTTAACCAGTGGCAAAGTTAGTGGAATCTAATTTTCCATTAAAAAGCAAACTGGCTTTAATTAGTTAACCAGGCCATTAATTGGTGCTCATTCAAAATTTAAGTTCAAATGAATTGTTTATATATATATATATATATATATATTTTAATATTTTGGTAACAATTACTCAAAATAGATTGAAAGAATGTCCATTATTAAATATAGCAAGAAAAATTTAAATCTGACAAAATTACTGTCTACAGAGTGCCTTTAAAAAAAGATGTAGCCATTAATTGATCAGTTTGCCCTAACATTTTTGAGGTAATTCTTTTAATGAAAAAAGCGATCACTAAAATTATGTTAAGCATAAAGCACGTTGAAAACGATTCACGATATTATGAGAAATTTAATCTTATATTCTCTTTATTAAAGAGAACAATAAAATTTGAAAACCTCATGTTTAAGGTATAAAAAAACTGAACTTTAACAGATATAAAAATAACGTGATCAAAAGAAAACAAAATTATTTTCTCTTAAACGACTCTAAACAAATGTGAAGAAAAAAAAACAAAAACAAAAAACGAACAGCCAATGTGAATACAATTCTAATCACATAAAATCGATGAGAAAATTTAATAAAACCAGAGATAAACTTTAGTTTTTAGAGCGTTATTATTAAGCACTGATAACGAAAAGCAAAAATAAATAAAAAATACAATGTTCATTAGCGACTCAATACAGAAAATACATTAAGTCATCACGAAATTTTATTGTTTATCAGCTGGCTAAACAATGACCAATTGTTCAAGTGAAAAAGATATAACGAGTGTTTTACAAGCAGAATCATATAATTAGTTCATATTAGTTACATAGCATATTTTTTGGTCCATTCTTTAGCAAGATCATTATACTTAGTTCGATCACTTTTATAAATTCTTGCAATTTCAGGTACTAAAGGATCTTCTGGATTCGGGTCGGTTAATAGAGAACATATTGATAGTAATACTAAAAATAAAAAATAATCAAATCTTTTAACCATGGAGATTTTTCAAACAACCTTACAAGTGGAATTAAGTGATAATTAACTCACCTTTTGATATAGTTAAAGCAGGGCTCCATTGACTTCTCAAAATATCTAAGCAAATACTTCCATTACTATTTATATTAGGGTGATAAATCCTTGTGACAAATGTAACCTACAAATAAATATTTCAAAATCAGCCAACCTTGCAATAATAATAATAAAAAATTCTGATCAAATTTAAATAAAATTTTTTGCTTCTGGTTAAAACAAAAAGATTGTTTGGAACTTAGTAATAATCTTACCTTTGGTGGTTTAAATGGATAATCTGGAGGAAATTGAATTGTTAAAAAAAACACACCACCTTGATATGAACTTTCAGGCTTAAAAAAAATTAAATAAATGAATAAAAAAAAAAAAAAAAAAAAAAAAAAAAAAAAAAGAGAAAAAAAAGTTATAATATAAATAAATAAAAAAATTTACACACAGGTCCCATAATTGTGGCTTGCCATTTAAACACTAAAAATAAAAGATATTGAAAAAATAAAAATAATAAAACAACAACAAAATAACTTTTATGCCTAAAATAGCTAACATACTATCTTTTTCATCAATTGGTCCGGCTGAGCATTGTGCAGGTGGATCTCTTCCAAGATCTTGAAGTTCCTAAATAAATATGATTTTTTTTTTTTAGTTTTTAATAAGTAAACTTTAACATAGGCAATACTTAATAACTTCAATACAGTGTATTTAATGTAAGTAGCCTCGCTACAATACAAAATAAGTAATAAAAGCCAATATTCAGCAGTATTTTTTGCATCTTTTAAAACATTTATTAAAATAAAAATAAAAATTAATTTATGCTAATATATATACTTTTTGAGCACTTAAATTGTTTTTTTAAACTATTAATATGAAATATTTTGACAACTTTATCACAATATTAATACTATTGCCAAGGTTGGGTCAATTTGTATTTGTATTAATAACATGTATATATGTATATATATGTATGTATATATATATATATATATATATATATATATATATATATATATATATATATATATATATATATATGCTTAGATTTTAAGTATGAATGCTATTTTTTATAACTTTATGCACACACACACACACACACACACACACACACACACACACACACACACACACACACACACACACACACATACACATTAGTGCATCGATATAGAATACATGTAACTTAAAGTTAACTAATTAGTGTTATATAGTATTATATAAATATTTTTATCAGCATTGCATTATTGCTTAAAATTGTAATAATGATAGATTAAAAACAAATAACAAATATTTAGGAGAACATAGAAAAATCAATCGTTAATTTTTGAAAAAAGTAGAAAAATCAGTAAATAATTTTTAATGCCCAATAAAAACTTATTTTTTCTCTTCCAGTAACTTTTAACTCTAATAGTGGTTGCTTGCAGCCTTCTTGAAAGTAATGTTAATTTTTTTTTTTTTTTGCAGGTTTGGTGTCTATTCCATGGTCACAGAGCAGTTAAATAATCTAACAGTCGGCCAAACAAACAATAATAATTTGATACTAAATAAAATTAAATAATATTCATATAGCAAATTCTCATCTGACATTTGTGCTTATTCAACACTTGAAACACTTGATGCAGTCAACTTTTTTTACAACCTTTAAAAGCGATTTAAGCGACACAATAAAAAATATTTAACATCCTAATCAGATAGATAAATAAAGAATTTGATTTGTTAAACTATAAATAAAGTGAATACAAATTTATTTATTTATTATTCAAAGAATATAGTAGTTTTTAATTCACAATAACAATTTTTTTCCTTAAAAGGCCTTTCTAAGATAAAAAGCTTTAGAACTATATAGGATTCCAGTATAAAGTCCAGGGCCAGCTTGCCACTGAATTGACATATCTGTATTCATATTTTATTTGAATAAAAACTTTCTTATATAGTTGTATTTGATTGAAATGTATTTGTAATTCTTTAAACTTTGATTGGTATTTTTCTCTCTCCGTTTTTTAAGGCTTGAATTAAGTTATAGCAAATTGCAATATCTGGGAATATTTAAGGTCTACAAAATCTCAGTTTCATTAAAATAGTGTTTTAATGAAACAGTCATTATTCATATTGGGGATTTCCATTTCTGTAAAGAATTTTTTATTTTTGTTTTAGCAATTAAATGCTGAGACTTAAAGCAATATTCATACTATGATGATTTTCAAAAAAAAAAAAAAAAAAAAAAAAAAAAAAAAAAAAAAAAAAAAAAAAAAAAAAAAAAAAAAAAACAAACAAAAACATAAAAAAATATTTTTTATCGTTGTTTAAGCTACCTGAATAAATTAAATATATATATTTTGATCATTTTTTTTTGCGTAATAATATCGCTACAGTTTGAAAATAAACAACGATTTGTAAAACGCTATATTTTAGCTAGAAATAATTGATGAATGACATTTCTCATTGAAAATATATTAATTATGAGTCGTAGAAGCATAATATTTCACTTAAAATACTTACAAAGAAGCATAATATTTCACTTAAAATTTACTTAAAAATATCTACATGAAATTAACAAACTCACAACTTCCGTGGGTGATCATTCATGAATTGCATTTAAACAATTGCTGTGACTCTATGATACATAGTGCAATCCTGTAACTTTCTGGAAAGCTTTACTAATGTTTAAAACTATTGTTTAACTTTACTAATGTTTAAAACATCATTTTAATAGATATATAACGCTGAAACTTATATTTTTTGAGGAATTAAAGTCTATTTATCTAGTAACTAGATAAATAGACTTTAATTCCTATTCTGCTTCAAACTCAATTTATTCTTTGTAAGGGATTGTCCATAAATTATTCAACGCAAAATATATTTAAAAAAAAGGAGGAGGATATATATATATATATATTTAATTTATTCTTTTACGCGGTCGATTGTCAATAAACTTAATCTGCTTATTTAATTTAAATTAAGACTCTGTGAGAGAAAAAGTTTGGATCTTTTTTGTTTCGTTTATTGTGAAAGTTTGCGTTACATTATTTATGGACAAACCCTAACATTATTAATATATACAATTTTTTGCTTACAAAATATTTATATAGGTTAGAATTACTTGAGAGCAAATTGGAGATTGCCAGTTTTATTATTATGAAAATAATAGATAAAACATATATGAGTATCTGTGCGTGATTTTTTGGAAATAAAAAAACAAAATTTACTACTGCAAAAATAATAACAACCAAAACTTAAATATTTTAAATTATTGTTTGAACACTAGGTAATTCAAGCATTACAAATAAAATAACGTTACAGAAATTTTTTTTTTTACTAAATATCCAAAAAATTTGCCTAGTAATTTAAAAATCAACTAATAAATAATTATACTAAAGCTGTTTTGCGCATTGTATGAAACATTAAAATCGATTTTTGTTTCAGCATAAACTTTGAGAAACTATTTATTAAAAATTTAAATTAAAAATTAATTAATTGATAATAAAAATTATAAGCGATAGTAAAAATTATGGAAAAGGCAAGCTTCAACTAAAACATCAATTTTAGTTTTATTGATATAGGTTTATTATTCAGTTTTAATCAAAAAAAAGTTACAAATGTAACAAGTTGAGAAAAAATAAAGAAATTTTTATTTACTTTTCCATCAAAAATATCCAACAAAGAAAAAAAAAAAAAAAAAAAAAAAAAAAAAAAAAAAAAAAAAAAAGAAAGATGTATGACATAAATAAAACCCAACATTTTCTTTGATATTTTTTTTTTTTAAACATCTTCACTTCCAACAAGGCTGCAAGCAACCACTATAAGAGTTGGAAGTTACTGGAAGAGAAAAGACTAAATCTGTAGAGCAAGATAGCGATTGACTGATGACTTAAATGATTGCAAATTACATGAATCAGGGAAGCAAGATGACGGAAGTGAATTCCAAAGAACTGATGTTCGAGGAAAAAAACTAGAAGAATAAGAGTTTTTGAAGCACTTAGGAACAGTCACAGAAAAAGGATGAGACTTAATTGAATGACGAGTAACACGAGAATGAATTTTAGTAGATGGCACAAGAGACGCTAGCTCTTTAGAGCAGTGACCATTATAGTATTTGTAGAAAAGAGAAAGAGAAGCAACATCACGACGATGGGACAAAGGTTGGAGATTGGCTGCCAGAGCAGGTTCAACTATGTTTACAATGCGTTTTTGCACCTTGTCTAAAAGAGAAAGGGCATCATTAGAAGATCCGCCCCAGATGTGGCAACAGTATTCCATACAGGGACGGATTTGAGATTTATAGAGATAGAGAATAGAATCTGGAGTAAGAAAGTGTCGAGCTCGATAAAGAGATGCAACCTTAGCAGATGCTAATTTTGCAATGGATTTGATATACAGTTTAAAAGAAAGATCAGAAGTAAGAGTTAATCCTAGAAGATGAATGGTAGATGACTCATCTAGTACTTTACCATTCATAAATATAGGAAGATCTAAATTATTACCATAACGATTGGCCGAATAAAATTGAGTTTTATCTGAATTAAAGTTCACCAGCCACTGTGAGCCCCATGCTGTAGCAGAAGTAAGATCCTTTTTTAAGCTCAGATACCCCCTCCAGGCAATCAGAGAGTGTAGGCTTCTTATCATGACAAGAGTAAATGGTAGTGTCGTCAGCGAATAATGCCACCTTAGATGTGAGAATATCTGGAAGATCGTTAATGTAAATTAAAAAGAGTATAGGGCCAAGGATTGAACCTTGAGGAACCCCTGAAGTTACAGGATGTGAAGAAGAGTGTTGTCCATCGAGGACAACTTTTATACTACGATTGGAAAGAAAGAACTCAATAATCTTAAAGATGTTACCAGATACACCATAAGAAGAAAGCTTATGGAGAAGACCAGCATGCCAAACTTTATCAAAAGCTTTAGAAATGTCAAGTGCGATAGCCTTAACCTCTCCACCTCTATCTAATGCACGGTAAAACCTATCGGTTATTACTGTTAGCAAATCAGCTGTAGAACGAGAAGATCGAAATCCATATTGATGATCAGAAAGTAAGTTATTTGATTCAAGATGAGAGATTAAGTGTTTGTTGATTAAAGATTCAAAAACCTTGCTTATGACAGGAAGAAGACTAATGGGAGGGTAGTTAGATGAATCAGATCGCTCTCTGGAATTTTTGAAAATAGGGATAACAGATGCTGCTTTCCAGCATGATGGAAAACAGGACTCTGATAAGCACTTGTTAAATAGTTTTGAAAGTATGGATGAAAGCTCCGGAGAACACTTCAGCAAGACTACAACAGGAATGTTGTCAGGACCACAAGCTGTTGAAGAGTCTAAGCAGGAAATTACTTTTGATACAGAAGCTGAAGTGATGCGAATGTCAAGCAAGGGATCAACCTGTTTGACGGCTATGTCAGGTAGAACACAAGTAGTGGAATCGAGAGATGATATTGATGAAAAGTTCTTAGCAAACAATTCAGCTTTGTCTTTAGGTGAGGTGACAAAGTCTGAACCATACAAGAGAGAAGGAATAACAGATTTGCCCTTATTATTGATACTGTTAAAGATTCTCCAGAAGTCTCGAGAGCCTAATTTTTGTGATGAGATACGAGATTTTATGACCTGAGAATAGCGAGCTTTGGCGTCAGACAAAACCTTTTTACAATGGTTTCTGGCGATAGTGAACAGATGTCTGTTTTCTGGAGAATTGTTTTGCTGATAGATATGGAAGTAACGGTTTCGATTAGAAATTGCTGCAGCGCAATGTGAGGAAAACCAAGGAGAAGAGTGAGGCTTGACCTGGAATCGTCGAGAGGGAATGATTCCATTCCAGCCTGAATCCACGAAGTTATGTAAGAAGCACATTTGTCAGCAGGAAGACGAAAGATTTCTACCCAAGGGCCATCACAAAGAAAATCACGGAAAGAGTCCCAGTCAGCTTTAAGGTAGTTGTATGTGGTACGATGATAGGGGGATTCTGATGAAGTAGAAGAATTTGATAATAGTTTTAGAGAGATATAAACTCACAACACTTAATATAAACTCACAACACTTGCAGATTCATTTAACTATATGCTTTTTTATAAAAAATCAAATCAAATCTGTTGGGATGAAAACAATGTTTTTTTTTACAAAAATTAATTACTGCATCTTGTTTAATGTGCAAACTGTTTCAAAAGACTGTTTGAATATTATAATTAAAATAGTTTTGGTTTAACGTACATGGCTTCATGCGTAGGTAAAATCACCATTGTGTACATGATACCAAACAGTGTAATGCTTCTTAACAAGGCCTGTAAAGTATAAAACCAACGTATACAGTGTTGTCACATTAAATTTTTATAAGAAAAAAAGATTATTAGAGGATTTTTAAGGAGATTTTGCATTTAATTTAGAGGTTTTTTTTGCAAAACTACAAAATTTTGATTTCAGAGGATTTTTTTTTAACTAGGTGTTTAACGCCCATGTTTCCACATAGTTAGGGTTTGGACAGGAATCAACAATCAGGCTTGGTCGGGAAGCAGGAGCGATCGCTCTCAAATACTGACCACAAATTATATTTAGTTGCGTAAAACTGGCCAGGTTTTTTTTAGTCGTTTTGAGAACATTTAAGTTTATTTATGAAACAAAAAATTTTTGTTTTACGGACATACATGGAAACATTAAAAACTTGAATGTTCTTAAAACATCTTTGTGCGAAAGAATAAAAAGAATATTTGCGAACACTAAAAACTTGCCAAATTAACAAACAAACTAATTCTATTGGTTCAAAAAATACGCTGATTAAGCGAAATAAAGTTCTAGAGTATTCTGTTAAAATGTTTTAGAAATTGTATTATTCATGATTTGTTACGTTTTGAGATTTCTAGAATTGCTTTAAGAATATATATTATTTGTTTACAAAAATAAATGTTTTATATTAATTAAATTGTTAAAATTTTAAAAGTTTATTATAAATTATAGATTTTATTAGTATATTCTTATTTTTTATTTTAAAAGAGATTGTATTCTTTATGTAAATGTAATTTTGTGTATTTGTTTTTTATCGTAATGTATCTTTTAAAGCAATTTTTACGATTTAAACAAAGACTTACAAAAATAATTGCGTTTACAATGAAGTTATGAACATTAAAGTTAATAAAACTAATTATGTAACAAACATATAAGAAGTTTATGGTTACTAAACACAAACAACACATACAAAGTAATTCGCGGATGAACAAGCATAGCGCCTGAGGTCACGACAGAACACAAATATATATAGCAAATAATTAGATATAAAGAAAAGTTTCTAGATATTGGTTTACTAACTCTAATTATTTTCGCTTAAGTTGCCATTCTTAAAACTCATTATACTTTTGTCTGCTTTAAATACTAAATAAAATTAAAAAACCCACTAACTAAACATCATCATCGATGTTGTGAAGCAGTTTCGCTTACTCGCCATTAAGTATTTTAACCTTTTTAGTTGATTTTTATCTTGTTAATTTAATTCCTATAGTAATTCAATGATTTAATCATTTCATTTGTTTATTTTACTAAGAAGAATTGCTTCAAATATGTTAAACTTTTCAAACTACGCGAAACATAATATAGGTATTAAAAAAATCAACTTTTTTATTTTAAAAATAATTTAGTTTAAGTAAAACTAAAACTTGCAAACTTAGTTAAATAAAGAATATTTGTTTCTCTTTGTTGTTACTTTATATAAAAAACATTGCTTAATTTTATAAAAAAAATTATAAAAGAGCAATATTTCAAAAATATTTGTTCTAAATGTAATTTATTTAGCTTTAAGTTTTTTCGCGTTTAAAGATATTTTATTTGTCTATTTTTTTTTTTTTTGTAATTGTCTCTTATCAGTCCAATTAATCTTTGTCGCTTTTTTTTTTGCTTTTTAAAATGTTCTCAAAACAACTAAAAAATCTGGCCAGCTTTTCGCAACTAAATATTATTTACAAGGTCAGCAATCGAGAGGGATTGCTCCCGCTTCCCGACCAAGCCTGAATAATGTTATTTTTTATGTTAGATGACACGAATTTGCTAAAATTAATATTTTACAACCCAATCCTCATTTCAAATATTTTGAAATAAAAAATGATGGTAGTATAATGTTCAAAGTTCATCATCTGCAAAACCAGTTTTGCAGATGATGAACTTCGAACATTATACTACCATCAAAAAATGAAAAAATAAAAAAGAGGAGTTAAAGAGGAGATTTTATCACATTTTAAACTTTTTAGGGAATAAAATAGTATATTAGAGGAAATTTTTTTTAGAGGACTTTAGAGGAGCAGTGGCCACTCTGCTATAAAAACAAATTTTAAACAATGAAAACATTGTTTATAATTTTCGAAAAAGTCTAGAGAGAAAACAATTGTTTTTACACTCAATCAAAATATTTTAGTGACTTTACTTTGCTGGTATAAGCATAATAAAATCTTATTACAAAATTTTAAGATGATGTAAATTTCAGTGATTTAAATTTCAATAAATTTTGTAAAAGATAAAATCAAAATTCTTGTTCAAGATGAAAGTGACAATCTCATCAAATGCAACAAAAAATTTAATAAATATATTTGGTAATCCTTAATTACTTGCTTTCAGAATAAATATACAGCAATTATTTTATAATAAAACAAAATAATATGAATGGTATGAACAACTATATTTCCTATAACGTTAGAATATAAAATTATAAATGTAAAAAATTATTATGTAAGTGCTAAAATTTTAACTAATAAAAAATAATATTATGAGATATATAATAACATTTAAATAATAATTATGAAAAAAGAAAAAAATAATATTTTAATATTCAGAAAAGTACAGAAAAACTTTATTTCATGTCGCTAACCTGAAAGATTGCTTTTTATATTTTGTTAATATTATATTTAACATTAAAAGTTTGTGATAATTTAAAAAAGAACTTTTAAACCACTAAAGCAAGTTAAAATGCTGATGTAATCAAAATTATTTATAATAATGTGAATAAATTTCAAACATCTAACAATACACTATATCACCTGATAAAGGTTAAAAAAATTAATAGTAAAAAATTATTTAATACTGGTCATCTTGAACTAGAATTTGCTACTAAAACTGAAAATACACCAACTGAACCTAAAATATTTCAGTGAAATATAACCATAGCATATAATGGTTTTGTATATGAATACGCATTGAGATTTGCTACTTTTTATTTGAATTAAAAAAATAAACACGCAATTAAAATTGAGTTTTTCTAACCTAAGTTTTACTACATCAATAGTGAAAAATAGAAAGAAAAAAGAGACAATTATCCACAAAAAAAAAAAGAAGAAAAAGAAAGAGAAACAATTATTTAAATAAATTAGCTTGTTTTGGCGAATTAAATCTTTATAACATAAAACGTTTACATAACTGAAATACAAATGCTGAAAAATGTTATTTCTTTTAATCATCTTATTTTAGGAGTTTGCAAATAAAAATTCAGGTATACACACAGAGATACGATTGGAAAGCGCTATTTTGCATAAGATTGCTTGTTATATAAAATCTTAAAACATCTATATCAAAAGTGACATCGCAGACAAAAAAGTTAAATCCTTAAAACTTTATTTTTTAATAACAAATAAGAGATATATCTACCTTCGTTATTCTTTTTAACGCCATTTGATAGAAGCGTCCTAATTCTTTGAAGAAGGTAACCTTAACTCGCCTTTTTTGGACCACGCGAAAGAGACTGGGTTAGAAAAAAACATTACGCTTACATTTTGTGTTTTAGACAAAGCAAGAAATAAATACTCAAATAAAATTACATGTAAAAATTCAAATATAGAAATTAAAAAAATTAATGTGGGAAACGCTAGAATATAAGTTTATAACTTTTAAATCCCTTTAAATTAATAAATGTTTAATTTATAAATAATTCAAAACTAAAAAATGATTTTTGAGAAATTAAGGTTTAACTTCCATGTTTCCATAATCGACTAATCAAGCCGAAAACTTGAGAACCACAACGGAAACAAACTTTCCAAAATGGATGGGTTTTCAAAAATATCAACGAGCAATGTTGCCACTTTGGCAATATCAACTGTCATGGTTGCTGCAGCTCATCCACTTACTTATGTTAAAGTTTTAATTCAAGTATGTTATTTAACTTTACTTTAAAGTAATAAGTTATGGGTTTTCCTCAAATAAGAATACATTAATTCGAACTATTGTGAAGAATCCGCGTTATTAAAATTATTTACAAATGAAAACTTGGTTTTCATTTGTAAATAATTTTGTTTAATCAAACTATTATTCAGGCTTTCTAAAATTAATTAATTTTTTAAAAAATGTAACTCTGGTGCAAATGTACAATTAAACATACACGTCTGCAAAACTTATGTAGTTTTTTTCGAGAACAGTGAAAAAAAATTTCTAAAAACAATTCTTTTTTTGCTCTTTTTATATAAATGCTACATGCTCAAAAACATACATTGGCTCAAATCCTAAGTTGATAAAAATACGGGGCCCCACAGGGATAGTTTACACAATGATATATGTATATAAATATATATATATATATATATATATATATATAATATATATATATATATATATATATATATATATATATATATATATATATATATATATATATAAATATATTATAAAACAAAGTTGTATCTTGCATTGATATTGCCAGCATTTATCTGGTACTTGATCTGTTGTATCATCCACTGTTATATATTCATATAAGATGTAGCTCACAACTGGCAGCTTGTAGCAGGGGTAAACCTTGTAGAAAATTGAGAAAATCTTTTATTCATATACAACAAAACATATACAATATTATGTTCTTGGATTGATAGGTGTTTTAACACATAGACAGAGTTCTAATTAATGATCGCTGGTGTCGCTGACCTCAGGGCTGCCTTGATCTCATTTACTATCACAGGCCTCCTATTTTAGGCATTTCATATCCCATAAGTCTTTGTTGCTGGATTTAAAAACAATGGTCTTAGATTCAAATGTAAACTTGGAAATATTTAGGTATCTTTACAAGCCGGCAGGTTCATTGTCTGAGCTGCACAACAATAGTGCTTTAGTAAAATGATATCATAATTGCAACTGAAATTTCCTCCAAAAAGAAAGGTGTTAAGTTGACCAGTCCATGATCCACCTCTTTCTGTTTTTCCTTCTTGACTTAACCAAACTGGTTAAAGGCACTAACATAGTCTGAACCATTGTCTGCAGTTGTTGCATAAACCTGAGGATTAAAAAAATCTAGTTAAAATACCAATTTTCAATAGACTACAACACATTTAAATTTACTAAATATTTTTTAGAACAAGAAGCAGTTAACTGTTGATAGTTTTTGAAATAAATTGCTTCTACACACTCTCCCGTTTATATTAAACTCTTAATGCAGATACAACATGTCTGCAATAGTAAACGACCAGTGTTGATATTTTAACGCAGCCAGGTTTGATAAAATATTGCTGGGGTCGGGGCCAGGTTTGTGACCAAGATTGCATAAACATTTATACATCCTAAAGTTAGGTATACTACATGAAATTTTTAAATTCATTAAATTCTAGGTTATTATATATCATTAAAGATATATAATAGATATAAAGAGATATCAAATTCTAGGTTATTATATATCATTAAAGATATATAATAGATATAAAGAGCTTCATTTCAATATTCTAAAAGTGAAAAAATTATCAAAATTGAACCACCCCACAAAAAGTTATGACGTTTTAAGTACCGATTTTTTAATATTAGGATTTGTTGAAGCAACTGTGGTCAAAATAAAGTTTTCATTAACTAAAACAATTATAACATAATCAATTCTTATTCAAAAGCTTGTATCTTGGTATCTAAAAATTTATAAAAGTTTCTAGATTACAGGCGCATCCGAGGGCAAGAGGGGGCACAAAACCACCATCCTTACCGCCAATAATGACTAACTATATTTATAAAAAAGCGTTTTTTTTTTTTTTTTTTTAATGAAACTGTTAAATTTTATATACAAAATGATTTTGTAATTAGCTATCAGACCACAGTCAAATATAGAAGTTTCATCATTGCCTAGAGTAGATGTAAGAGTGATGGTTTCAAACACCCTATTATCAAAAGTGACTATTTTTTTATAAATATTTATCTTTGTAATTAAAATGAAATCTAGTATTCAAAAATTATTTTTTTCAACTTTACAACATCGCTAGCAGCGCACCCATTGTTTTAAGGGGTGTAGGTGGGGAGGGGCGCATTGTCCCCCCCCCCTCCTCTGCTTTTACAACTTAAAAAAATGAGATTTGAAAAATATTTAAAATGCTATTGATTAAAATAATAAATTTTAATATAATAATACTTTTTTCTAAAATTCAAGATACATGAGACAACGTTTTGGCATAGTTAGAGATGGTTCCCCTTCCGACCTGAAAAAAATTTAAAACACAAAAAATGTTTTATAATATTATTTTATTTAGCTTGTGTCTTGGCTTATAGTTAATTATTAAGATATTAAATTCCATTCATGAAATTATATACTAATAATTGATACAATAATAAAAATCTATTTCAAAAAAATGCAATTTCCACTACTTGCTGCATATTTTTTTTGCAAGTTCCACTACTTGCTGAACGCTTTTTTTTACAAGTTTCACTACTCCCTCTACAATTTTTTGCAAGTTCCACTACTGGCTGTACATTTTCTTGCAAGTTCAATCACTCACTTTACATTTTTTTTCACGTTCCACTACTCGCTGT